TACTAAAAATACAAAAAAAAGTAGCTGGGCATGGTGGCGTGTGCCTGTAATCCCAGCTACTCAGGAGGCTGAGGCAGGAGAATTGCCTGAACCCAGGAGGCGGAGGTTGCGGTGAGCCGAGGCCGCGCCATTGCACTCCAGCCTGGGTAACAAGAGCGAAACTCCGTCTCAAAAAAAAAAAAAAGACTTGTACTCAAATGTTTAAGGAGTGTTATGCAAAATAGTCAAAAACTGATAATAATCGAAACACCTATACACTGGTCAACAGTTAAAGTGTGTTACAGTAATCCCTCCTTACCTACAGCTTTACTTTCCAGTTTCAGTTACCCATAGTCAAACATGGTCTGAAAATGTTAAATGGAAAATTTCAGAAAAACAATCTAAGTTTTAAAATGAGTGCCATTCTGAGTAGCACGATGAAACCTCACACCATGCTGAATCATCCCTTTATCCACCGTATTCACACTGTCTACACTACCTGCTCGTTAGTCACTTAGTGGCCATCTCAAGTTATCAGATCAACTGGTACCATAGTGCTGGTGTTCAAGTAACCCTTATTTTACTTAATAATGGCTCAAAAGCTCAAGATTAATGAGGATGACAATTTGGATATGCCAAAGAGAAGCTGCAAAATACTTCAAGTGAACAAGTGAAAGTTCTGAATTTAATAAGGAAAAACAAACTTGATGCTGAGTTTGCTAATATCTACTAGCAAAAAAAAAAAAAAAAAAAAAAAACTTTCTACTAGCAAAAAAAAAAATTTATGCTGAGTTTGCTACTACCTATTGCTAAGAAGAAATCTTCTATCCACAAAACTGTGAATAGCATATTGTTCTGTTTTAACTACTCTGAACTTATTGGTAAGATATTTGCATATTAACTATTCTATTATTATTTTTAATCTCTTATTATGCCTCTTTAACAAATTAAACTTTATCATAGGTATGCACATATAGAAAAAAATATAGTGTTCAGCTAGTTCAGGCCACTGTAACCCCTAGCCTTGAGGCTTTCTAAAAAATAAAAACAAATAAAAAAGAAAAAGAAAAAAATATAGTGTTCAATACTACCTGAGATTTCAGGCATCCCCATTCAAGACCTGGGGGTCTTGAATGTATCCTGCACAGGTAAGGGCAGAGGGGATTATCATACACCCATACAAATAAATACTATTCTAAAATATAAAGGAACAAAAAACGGATATGCACTACAATATGAATGAATCCCAAAAACATTATGTTAAGTGAAAGAAGCCAGATACAAAGACTGCACATTGTACGACTCCATTTACACAAAATATCCAGAAAAAGCAAACATCTGAAGACAAAACAAATCACAGATTGCCTGAGGCTGAAGCTGGGAATAAGGGTTATCTATCTGCAAACAGGCTAAGGGAATTTTGGAGGCAATGGAAATGTTCTAAAACTATTTCAAGGTGACAGTTTCATAATTCCATATATTTATGTAAAATTATTGAACTATATACTCAAATCTTTTGGTATCAGTTAAGTCAAAAGCTAATGTCTTCTTTTTTTTTTTTTTTTTTTTTGAGATGGAGTCTTGCTGTCACCCAGGCTGAAGCCCAGTGGCAAAATAGCTCACTGCAACCTCCGCCTCCTGGGTTTAAGCAATTCTCCTGCCTCAACCTCCCAAATAGCTAGGATTACAGGTGCCCACCACTACACATGGCTAATTTTTTGTATTTTTAGTAAAGATGGGTTTTCACCATGTTGGCCAGACTGGTCTCAAACTCCTGACTTCAGGTGATCTGACCGCCTCGGCCTCCCGAAGGGCTAGGATTATAGGAGTGAGCGACTGCACCTAGCCAAAAGCTAATTTCTTAAAAAGTGTACATACCCAAAGAAATGACATGTCAACACAAAACAGAAACATTCCTAGCAGGATTATAGTAGTCAAAAAAATGGAAATGTAATATATCCAATAAACAGAATATTACTCAGCAATAAAAAGTGACTACAAAAAAAATTTTTAATTAAACAGGATCGGGTGCAGTGGCTCGCGCCTGGAGTCTCAGCACTTTGGGAGGCCAAAGCAGGAGGATTGCTTGAGCCAAGGAGTTTGAGACTAGCCTGGGCAACATGGTGAAATCCCATCTCTATAAAAAATAAAATAGATTAAATTCAAAAAAAAAAAAAAAAAAAGAAAGAAATGAAGTACTGACACATATTACAACATTGACATACTTCAAAAGCACTATGCTAAGTGAAAGAAGCTAGTCACAAAAGACCACATATGTGGTTTCACTTACATAAAATGTCTGGAATAGTCAAATCTACAAAGACAGAAAGTCGATCAGTGGTTACATAGGACTGGGAGTGCTGAGGGAAAATGAAGAGTGACTGCTAATGGATGTGGGGCTCTTTTGGGGGATGATTTTTTTTTCTTTTTTTTTTTTAATGCTACTAGCAGGATCAACCAGGTATGGGGATGATTAAAATGCTCTAAAATTGATTATAATGATGTGTGCACAACTTTGACTATACAGTTGGCCCACCATATCCATGACTTTTGAATCCATGGATTCAACCAATGAGGTGCAGAAACTACTCAAAAAAAAAAAAAAAAGTCTGTAAATGAGTATCTACAAACTTTTTTCCTGGTCATTATTCCCTAAACGATACACAGTATGATTTACATAGCATGCACATTGCATTAGGTAGAATAAGTAATCTGGAGATGATTTAAAGCATACAAGAGGATATACATAGTTTATATGCAAATACTACACGATTTTTATTTCTTCATTTTTCCTAAGAGACTAGATTTTGTTCTGTCGCCCAGGCTGGTGTCTAAACTTGGGCCTCAAGAGACCTTCCCACCTCAGCCTCCTGAGTAACTGGGATTACAGGTACAAGCCACTGCACCCAGCAATTATGCCATTTTATTTTAAGAGACCTGAACATCTACAGATTCTGGTATCTGAGGAAGGCCCTAGAACCATTCCCCAACAGATACCGATGGACAACTGTACTAAAAACCAGAGTTGGTCATCTGCAAAATGGAGTAATTTTTAAAACAGATTAATAAACCCACCAAATTGTACACTTCAAACCGAACTGAACAGTATGTAAGTTAGTTATATCACAGTGAAGCTGTTACCCCCCTCCAAAAATAGCATACAACATGAGCAAGTAAAGCCATTAACATTAGCAGACCCTACACGCCACAGGTACTATTTTCTATCCTGTTTACTTAGCATAGAAAAATCCCAAAGTTTGCAAATATCTTACCAATAAGTGCAGAATAAAAGAGGAAAAAAAAAAAAAGAAAAATCTCAAAGTTACAAATTCTTCATACTCAAGCTGATTATTTTGTAAGTGAGTATTTATGTCTGAAATGAGGGGCAATGATTAATCCAATGAGTTAAATCATTAACTTAAAAATAAGTTGACATAAATATTCAAATTTCAAATGTCCGGGATATTTCAATTTTCTATTTCATATGTTTACTAGCTATTGTCTCAATAATATTTACATGAATGTACTCTAAACTGCTATGCTCTATAAAGTTTTATTATTCTTAAATTTCCTTAAATGTAATTTAATGGTTTCCAGTCTTATATAAGTCATTCTACCTTTTGAAGAAACTCTGAAACACAAATATCCAATTCTTTCTTAGTAAAGCATACAGACTTCTGTGACTCTGGCACTAAATAAAGTGCATAATTTACTTCTGGATAGAGAATCACAGATAAAAAGGAAAGCAAATCTGATTACCAAACACACGATTACTGTTCTCTCATCACCGGATTAAAACTTAAACCAGTAAGCTGAAGTAAATGTTCATGAACATAAGAAAGTGGGGAATTTTTAACAGTTTTACAATGACATGTCCCCCTCTTCCTCATTTAATTAAGTCCTAAGAACTTAAAGGCTATTCTGCAGCGAATCTGGCTCCCAGAAAGAGCCCATCCAGGATGCTGGCAGAGGAAAAAGATTAGAAACTGTGCGATCTGGATTATTCTTGGTGTTACGGAATCTTTTTTCGGTCCTTTATTAACATAGAATAAAAATGTCCAAACGGAGCAAGAGAGAAGGTTCGGCTGCCCTGCTCACAAAGCTGCTGGGGTACAGACAGCATCCAGCCCTGGCAGAGCCCTCCCCGTCCTCCTCCCGAACCACTAGACCATCCCGTCTCGCGGTCCCTGAGGGCCAGCTTTGCCGGGATCCAGAAGGCGGTCACTGGACGTGCGTGTTGCAAGCCCGTTTTTGTTTTGTTTAAGAAACAGATTCCGATCCGAGCCAAACCTCCCTACCCCTTGGGAACAGGGGGAGGTGGCAGCAGGGTGCCGGCGTGGAGAGGGAGAATAAAAGAACGGCGAGTACAACCTGTCGTGCAAGCGAGCAGCGCCGGGAAGGAAAGGTAAGCAGCCGCGATCAGGCAAGACAGGGAAGGAAACTGGTGTCCAGCCCCCACCCCGCCACCCGGAGCGGCCGGAGCCTCCCAGGTCCCGCCCTGAGCTCGCCGCTCAGCCCCAGCGCCGGCCGCAGACTCCCGCCCTACACAGACCCTCCCAGGACGCGCTTCCTCCGGAGCCCGACCCCCGCCCTGGCCTCCCCGCGGGACGAGGCGGGTCAGTTCAGTCCGCTTCTCGGAAGAGGTGACTCGCGCAGAGATGTAAACACGGCGAGACCAGCTGCGCTCGGCCCATCCCCCCGCCGGGGTCCATAACCTCTTCCCTCAGCCCTGCCCCGCGCCCCGCGCTCCGCGCTCCCCGTGAGCAGGCGCGCAGCGCGCCTTCCCCTTTCTCCAAGTCCCGCTCCGCGACCGTTGCCCGGGGACACTCAGTCCCCTTCCCCCAGCGCCCGGCCGGTGTCACCGCCACAGCCGCCGGAAAACCCCTCCGCAAACCCCGAAGCAAACAACACCAGCGCGGGGCGGGGGCGCGGAGGGAGGCGGCAGCACACGGGACAGCTAGGCTTTTATCGCCGCGCCCTCCGCGCTCCCTCTCACCAGCCTCGGCTGCCCGCGCTCTTACCTGCTCTCTGCGTCGCCCAGGAAGACCGCGGCGCCCCTTTCCCTCTCAGCAGGGCCGCGGACCGCGGACTAGCCGCCGCCACTGCCGTTGGCCGGGCGTCCGGAGGGAGCCGGGGCCTCCCTAGCAGCCGGAGCCGCTCCACAGGCAGAGGAGGAGACAAAACAGGCGCGCCGCCCCGCGCAGCGCCCCCCCGCCCGCGCCGCCCCACCGACCCCCAACCGCCAAGGCTACGGCGGCGACACAGAGCTCGGCGCGGGGAGCAATGGTGGCCCCCGCCCCGCTCCCTCCACCCCCCGCCTCGGCTCCTCCCCCTCGGCCTCCAGCCGCCACCACCAGGACACTGGAGTCCGCCTCCCCCTCCCTGCCTGCTCTGAGCGCTCCTCCCCTCCCCACGCGACGGGGGGGCCGGAGCGGCACCGCCAGTCACCGCAGCGCCTGTCAAACGCGGGCCGGCTATTTATACCCCGCGGGGCCCCGCCGCCCTCGGGCCCCCACCAGCCCACTGAACCTGCCTCTTTTGCTCTCTTGAATCCCGCCCTCCTCTCCGCGCCCAACTTCTCCCAAACCCGCCTTCCCAGGTAAAGACGCTCGTCACTTGTCCGGCTCCCTGCCCGGGGCTCCCCATCCCCGGGCTCCCCGATCCCGCTCTCCACTCCAGCCCGGGATTGGTGCAGGGGGCTCCGCCGCACGGGGCAGGCGTGTGAGGACGACGGGGCCGCGCGTGCACCTGCAGCGCCCGCCCGCTTCTCCCAGCCGGCCGGGACCGCACGCACACACCCTCGCCCCCCAGGGCCCCCGCGGGCCCCGCCGTCACCGCATCCCCAACTCAGGACTCCCACCCTTCTCCGGAGACGGCCCCACACTCGGGCAGTCTGACAGTTACGAGAGGGCGAGGTTTTGCAAAAACTCCTAGCCCGGTCCTTCCTGTCCCCACTCCTCAGCCTCGGCTAAGAGGAAGGTGGGGGCGCGGGCGGCAGGAGCGCAACGCCCGCCCCGCCCCGGCCGGTGACGCACGTGGCGCACCGCCCCGCCAGCCTCGCGCCCCTCGGCGCCGCCCGCTCCTCCTCCCCGCTCGCAGTCGTCGGGCGTAGTACACCCGCGACCCCGCCCCATTCCCAGAAATTACCACCCGCCCAACAGCCCGGCGGCGCGGCGGTTGGTGCTGGCGTTTGCTGGCGGTCGGGCGGCTGGGCCCAGCGCGCAGCTGCGGAGCGCGGCGGGCGGCCCTTTGGCGCTGCCCGGAGAACTGCGGGCATCCGCACCAAGCCTTTGTCGCTCCTCGCTCGGTCAGCAACGGAGAATTAACTCAAGTCTGAGTGTTGTTGGTGCGAGAATGAGAGAGTGTTTTGGTGAAAGAGTATTTTGTTCTAAGTGCCTACGAATTCGAAAACGAAAACCCACAGTAGCTGCACGCTTCTGGTTTCTACACTTTCACACAAAGGGGAGCCTTCGAGCAGGGCACTCTCACGCGCCTTCAAGTGCACAAAAGACAGTGACATGGTGCCCGGGGTTGCCCTGCGTTGAAGCGTCTCTTTAATGGGCTTTCTTAGGCACAGTTATGCATAAGGACGCCTCAGGCTATTCCTTCACCACCACCATTCCCAGCCGCCGCGTTTTCTTGTATTTGTTTCTTTAACAAAGAGCACTGTCTGTCCCGGTGCCCGCGGGGCTGATTTTGCTCCCCTCTCGGGCTCCTGCAGCCTCGCCGCGATGGACCTGCCACCTGGCGCCGTATTCACCAGCTCATTTCTTGGCTCCAGCATTACTCTTTTTTACGGCTTCACAATTGGTCTTGAGCAAAGAAGAAACCCCGAGGAATATAAGAGGTAGCTTGAAAGGGACGTAGGAACTGTAGAAATCATCCTAGAGTAACGCTCAAATGTCAGAAAGCTGCAAGAGGCTCCAAATTGAAATCCCTGAAGAGCCTAATAATGTAATGATCTCTTTCTTGTCTTAATACTGTTGTTGCCTCTATTTTCTTGAGAATGAGTCTTCCTTTCCTATCTTAAAAAGCAACTCTGGGCGGGGCGCGGTGGCTCTCGCTTGTAATCCCAGCACTTTGGAAGGCCGAGGCAGGAAATGGGGGGGATGGAGTGAGGGATTGTCTAAGGTCAGGAGTTCGAGACCACCCTGGCTAACAGCGTGAAACCCCGTCTCTACTAAAAATACAAAATTTCGCCGGGTGTGGTGTCACATGCCTATAGTCTCAGCTATTCGAGAGACAGGAAAATCGCTTGAACCCAGGAGGCAGAGGTTGCAGTGAGCCGAGATCGTGCCATGCACTCCAGCCTGGGTAACAAGAGCGAAACTCCGTCTCAAAAAAAAAAAAGAAAGAAATTTTTGCTCTTGAACACAGGGGAAACCTGAAGCGCATAATGGCTAATCAGAGATCCTCTTAACTCTTGACAAAGTTGTGTGGATTCCTGAGTTCTAAATTATGAGACTATTGACACCCTTTTGAACTAAAGAATTCATAAAACGTTGGTAACATTCAAATCTTTAATACACAATAAACAGAAAACTGCAAACATAGTACCCTTTCTAAGGTAGTCTTTTTATCTCATTTCTTGTAAAATAACTTACCACTTATGGGAACCATTGCCACTTTGATATTTGCAAGGAATTAATTAATAATCGATAATATTGCATGTCCATAACATAGCATACTAAGGAGCAGGCAAAGACAAAGCCTTATTCCTTTTCTTATGAACAGATATCACCTGCCAAGTCATTCATATAATTTCTGTTGTCAGCCACGTTGAAAAGAAATTCTTTCCCACTGCCAATTGGCAGTAAGCCGGAAAGTCCCAGGTGGATAACAGTGGTAGATAGCATTATTGTTCCCAATTTTTCACTACTACACACATGCATGCCCTTTGAAATATGGCTTTGTAGTTCCTCTCATTAGAGATAACATGTTTCTCCACCCTGTTCATGTTGGTCTTAGATCATTCCATTTGCTTTTGGCCAAAGAAAGATAGGCAGAAGTGACAGTGTGACAGTTCTGAGACTGGCCTCAAGAGGTATTTCACGTTTCTCCTTCCCCCTCTGGCACTCTTGTTTTTCACAGTGTAAAGAACATACCTGGCTAGTTTGCTGGTCCAAGAAGTATAAAGCAGGTCTGAAGCCACTCCCACCTTGGAGTCAGCAACCCAAAGAATAAAGGATTGTTGTTTCAAGCCCTGTTTTGCCGTAATAGTGTTTTGGAGTAGTTGGGTCCCAGAATTAGTGTTGTGATAGCTGACTGAAACAACAGCAGAGAGAGCAATCTGCTTGCTTGGTATTGGCCTGGGAGGTGCCTAGCCTGATGTCTCTCAGGCAGCTCTTTGGCTGTGGTTCTTAGACACATCCCTTAAGGAGGCTGGCGGAGTAAGGAGCTCAGAAATTTTACAGCAAGCTTGTCCAACCCAGGCCCTGCAGGTTGCATGTGGTCCTGGATGGCTTTGAATGCAGCCCAACACAAATTTGTAAACTTTCTTAAAATATTTTTTTGTGGTTTTTTTTTTTTTGGGGGGGGGTTGTTTGTTTTTTTTTTTTAGCTCATCAGCTATCGTTAGTGTTAGTGTATTTAATGTGTGGCCCAAGACAATAATTCTTCCAGTGAGGCCCTGGGAAGCCAAAAGATTGGACACCCCTGGTTTACAGCAAAGCATTCTAAAGAACAGAGGTCAGAAGGAAAAGTCTAGTGTAGCCAGTAGTCTTAGTAGCAAGCTAATGGTCATGGAATAGTAGATCTCTGTGTTGTAACTGGATTGCTTTTGCTTTGGTTTTTTAATGTTATTTTATATTTTATTTTTTCATTACACAAGTGATTCATTAATACATTCTCATCAATTTTCAAATAATTTAAAATAAACTTTTTAAAATCCAAGTTCCCTTTCCTCTCCATTTCTCTTCCCATTCCTCACTTAACCCTTCACACTTACCCAGCCATCCCCTACCTCTACTTTTCCACAGATAACCATAAATGAAAATTTAGCCTTTAAGCTTCCAGACCTTTTTCTGTGCATGTATGTACATATACATGTATTTATATACTAAATATAAATAGAATTATATATTATGTATATTAGACCTAATGCTTTCATACATCTTTTCTCTGTTATTTCTCCCTTTGTTTTTTTCAGTATATAGGAAACTGTTGTTTTTTTTTAAATTATTTTATCTTTGACTGGGTGCAGTGGCTCAAATCTGTAATCCCAGCACTTTGGGAGGCCAAGGCGGGAGGATCACCTGAGCCCAGAAGTTTAAGACCAGCCTAGGCAGGAGGATCACATAGTTAGAGACCCCATCTCTACAAAAAATAGTAATAAGTTAGCCAGGTGTGTTGGTGTGTATCTGTAGTCCCAGCTACCAAGGAGGCTGAGGCAGGAGGATCACATGAGTCCAGGAGTTTGAGGTTGTGGTAAGCTTTGCTCACATCACCACATTGCAGCCTGAGTAACACAGTAAGATTCTGTCTCAAAAATAAATAAATAAAATTTCATTCTGCCTTCAATATGATAGACTAACCAAAGGAAGAGGTTTCCCTATTTTTATATCAGAATGTTAGATGGGAGAAGGACCCTTTAGGGCTCAGTATGGGGGTGGCAGTGACAATCAACATGAGGAACAGAAGAGAAAACAAAATTCTGAGTGGTGGCTAGGAAGTCATTTCTCTCTCCCAACCTGCAACTTCACGTTCTCAGGCAAATCTTTCGAAGTGCTGAGTTACATTTGATTAAATGAGGTAATTTTCCCTTATAACATTCCAAGTCCAAGAGAATATATGGTACAAGCTATGCTGCCTTTTTTGACCTAACCAGGGGAGTCACATAACATCTCTTTGTATGCTATTGGTCACATAGATTGATCCTAACTCAGTGTGGGAGAGTACTACACAAGGATATTTATACTAGGAGATGAGGATCATTGAGGGCCATGTTGGAAGCTGGCTGCCACAAGGGCATTCACTCAGTAGTGAATTTTGAGTTATTGACACAATCTTTAAACAGATTCCGTCATCTCAGATCAACAGATTCCCTGGTTACCAACTACTAGGTAGACTTTACAGGAAAAGCCAGAAAATTTTCTTCTTTGCCTCTCCTTAAAGAAGGAGTAGTTCTCGACAACTATCCAACAGCAATATTCTGATGTTAACCTATATTGTTTGTGAACTACTGTATCCAACCCTCCATACAAAGATTATTCATACCTCTCCCATGCTCTGGGTCTGCAAAGTAACCCAGTCCCCCAAACTCACTTTT